ATATTAGAGGATTTACGGTATATCTACTTTCTACTACTTTCAATTTAATAATAGACTCATTAGTTTTGTTTCATTTAAGCTCATTTTTATCATGGCCTGTTGGTATTTAAAAAAAAAAAAGAAAAACCACCAAAATAATTTGTTTTATCCGGACAATTAATTTCTCTGTGCTTGGTACTACACCAACTTGTTGTTCACTACATACCAAAATTAATAGTTTTTCAAGATGATGCAAACTTAAATTTGACAGTGTTACTATTAGTCATAAAACTAAGAATAGTATAAGGAAGTTATTATACAGAATTGTAGAAAGTGTTCCTTTAGTAGTGTAGTATAGTAACCAGTGAGGTTTAAAGAATCTGTCATTAACATTTTTTTTTGTGCATTACTTTTACTTCAAACGTGCTACTTTTACACTTTTACTTCAGTTAAAGCTTAATTTGATATTCTAACTTATACAAAAATGTTTTAAACAGTAGAATTTAAAACTTCTACTTGAGTAATATTAATAATTTGACACTTTATGATATTGTGAATAACTTCTATTTTTCACATCACCAACCAAGCTGTTGTCATTAACTAATTTTCCTGGTAGCAACGAATTTGGATAACTTTCTAAATAAATAATTTTTCAGTAGTTTAGGAGTTCCAGTACTCCTTTGCTGTTGGAGGTAGAGCGAGGACAGATGGAGCTCCAATTCAGGCCAAATTAGCCGAGAGTTATTTTGGTCATGGTAGTGATCCTGAATGGGTTAAATTAGATTTGCTCTTCCTGTCTAGAATAATGCTTCCATTGTGCATCCCATCTGAGATGATACAAGCTTCACCAATGCCTGACACCCTCATAAGCAAGTTTGTCTGTATTACTTAGTTTTTTTTTATGGAGCTCCCTTCCCCTTTTTTAATAGAATAGGGAGTCAGCCTGAGTGCAACATTCAGACCTGCTTTTTTTCTTTTAGCAGTTTACTTGTGGTGTTTTACATTTTAGGTTTTCATTCCTACAACTTTCCCAGTGCTCCATATCAAAGGACCTGGATTCAACACCTCCATCTTAAGGAGCTAACACCTCAGATACTTGACTAAGTAATGGCAGGTCATAAACATGACAAACACACACTCCAACAGAAATACTCTCATGCACCCACACACACAATGCCCTCCATGCAAAACTAAGGCTGTGAGGAATGGGAAAGACACAGACAAAGCTTCAAACATCCTCAGTGTAACAGTCGTAAAACCCAATAGCACAATGTTCCCCATTAGCCCTCCACTGTAGAGAAGGAAGAACAGAATCAGCTGTTCTCTGCTGAGTGGGCCGATTCTCCACCCGTGAGAATTTTTCGATTTGGGCTGACTTTCATCCTGATCGTGCGTCGTGTAGTGAACAGGTGGTAACGAGGGATGATCAGCCTCTCATGTCCACCTCCCATTCAGGAATCATAAGGTTGGGAGAAAATCAAACATGATTGAAATTCAGTCGGCCGCATAAGGTCACATCAGAGCGTCGGGGCAGACAGTGTAGCACGTTTCGTCGTACGGTTTGAGCTGTAGCTGCGTGCAATGACTGAAAATACTACATAGTGTATGCTTAAGAGGATGGTGATGGTGGGGGGGGGGTCTCTCTGCAGATCCATTGTCATCTATCAAATCAGCAGCTCAAATGCTGCTTTCATATCCTCATGTAATGACCTTCTGTCTTTACATGTCCTGGCATTTGAAACATTCCTCGCTGTATTCAAGTTTTTCTTTGCATGATGATTGAAGCTGCTCAACCAAATCCCCAGTCTGAGGTCTAATCTATCATGCTGCACGTTGTGCTGAATTCTTTTTGAAATCCAACACGAAGGGTTAAGGATAGCCATGGTGGGTGTAAATGTTCTTAGAGAATGGGATTTTTTTTCTATGTTAAGTGAAACACTGCCTCCCATAGACTAAAAGTGGTCTCCAAAGGAGCCGTGAATATGAATGGAGGATGACCCGCTTACTTTTCCACACACAGGACACCCGCTCTGTAATTATGTCCATTGTGTTTTCTTCCTGTCATAGAGGAAGAAAACCTTTCCATCTCTGTCATGCTGCTGACCTCAATTTTAACGTGATTTTCAGCTGATAGCTTATCTTGACCCAGTCTGGCCTTATGTACATAAACACATATAGAACACACACCGTGCACAATGCTCCAAGACAATTAATGGTATAATAGCACTTCCAGAGATGTTAAACAAGATTCCTGAGACCTCCAATAACAAAACAGGCTCTGATTTTAAAGAGGGAAAAAATACAATCTTCTATCAGTGTTTCCCACCTTTTTTGACTTGTGTACCCTTTGGGTATTTTATCTTACCATGAGTACCCCCTCAGTCAAAAGTAGGGAAAAGTGGAAAGTACAATAAATGATTATGAAATAAAAACTATTTTACATAATATTTTAATTGAGCATTTATTCTTAGGCATTTTATTCTTTCCATCTCAAATAAAAAAAAACATAAGTTATTTTTCCTGGAGGTTTGTAAGGAATCAAAATCAAATCAAATTATAAACATGTATTTATAACAGCGGAGCTCCTCTGAGTAAATCCCTTATAATCAAATTTAAACTTGATGAAGTTGGAAAAAAAAAAAGAACAGAACATTATAGTTAGATTGACTTAATTAGTTTTACTTTGTTTAATCAAAACACCTGAGCTGCTTTGATGAGCTCCAATAGCTCAGTGTGAAAAACAGCAGATCCCAGGCTGTTCTCTACATCCAGTCTGTTCCTCTGCTTGGTTTTGATGCTCATGTCAAAGCCGAAGATGAACTCAAACATACAAGAAAAACTTATTTTTTGGTTGATAAAAGCTTGTTAAATTTTTCAATTGGGTCCTCACAAAGCAAAATTTTATTTGACTACCTCAGAAATAAAATATTTTCATGTACCTTTTGCAATTACACCTGGTTAGGAATCACCTTCCTATCATTTAATAGAGACAAAAAAACATATGTGCCACATGCAAACTGGACTTAAGACAAACTATATAGATGTAGATTTACTCATATAGGAATGAGCAGCTATAATAATAATAATCGTACGGTAATAATAAAAGGTATTCGATGAAAGAAACAACAAAAAATGTATTTGATTTGTTAAAAACTAAACTATCAGTGTAAATTGACTTGGTCTGTTCTATCTTTCCTGATCTTTTTAACCATTGGCTTCCAAACAAGAAATGGCAGAGATGTAAGGGCTAAAATTTCAACAGTCTGAGGGATCTTTTATAACATTTTTAGGAGTAATTATCACCTGCTCTTGTCAATAGTATAACGTTTTAAGTGCTCACTCAATTCTTCTAATATTTTCTCCTTTCTTTTTTTACTTTTGCATGCTCAAAAAAAAAAAAAAGAAACATAGGACATTTCTTTGTATAAAATATCTTTAACTCCCGTTGGTCTCACTCCTCTGGCCTAATAGAAGGAAAGGCAGATAATTTCTAAAGTTTTGGACTCAACTATTAGAGGCTAATCCCAGCAACAAGAACTGGATGTGGGTCAGCATGTCTTCGGGAACACTCTCTGCAAATAAACTGTTTATACCGGTCTGTCAAATGTGTGCCTTTTTATAATTACAGCCCAAAAGGTCATTTAGAGAGCCATAAATGGAATACAGCGCTCTCTTTAAGCTCTTTCAGAATTTGTGAATCAGGAAAAATAACTCAGATAAAGAGAAATTTCATCACACTTGCCTCCTAGTTCATAAAGTGAATTGAAAATAATATAAACCTTAAAACAAAATGCTTCCCTATTTTATTATTTAATACTTTAACATATTTCTTAACTTATTTTACTATGAATATAAACGTATCCTTTTCTGTTCTAAGACTGATGATTTTGGTTTAATTTAACACCGACAACATTCTGATAATCACAGATAAATATCATTAAACGCACAAGCATGATCGGATTACACTGCCACTTGTCTGAAAACAGCTTTTTTTCTCTCACCATTTTGTTGTTTAACAGCTTGGTAAGTGGGAACATCCAGCGGTGCAAAGCAATCAAAGAGGGTGGGATTCTGCAGGGGACTGAGAAAGTGTAGGAAGCCGGCCAAATGAGAACAGGAAGGAGCACAAGGGCAGTTTATGTGTCTGAACAGCAGTCAGGGTGTCAGGTCCGTCGTGGAGGTTCTGCGAGGCTAAAACTGGCATTAAAGTGTCTGTAAGCGAGCCCCTCTGGGTAACATCAGACGGTTCTTCAGTAAACAGGCCTCAGGCATTCCAAAGACAAGGACACATAACCACAAGAACACACTCTCTTCGCTCTCACATCTAAACTACTAAACCAGAATCAGCAGTCTTACTTCCAGGAATGCTCCCCAACCCAGAGCAGGAAATGATGTAAACAGCCCCTTTTAACAACACAATGTATTTATGTGTCTGTTTATACAGATGAGTCGGTTTTCTTCTCAGAGGCTCTGGGTTGTTGTTGTCGTTTTCACATTCTTAGGACGGAACTGGCTCACATTTCTTCTTACTAACTGGCCAATGCAGTTTTAACATGATGAAGGGATTAATGTGCAAATTTCTGCCCCGCCAAACATTCCATAATCTGTATTAAATAAGGTTTTAGCAATACTCTGGTACCATTTTCTCACTCTGGAAAAGATTCACATTTTTTCCAGATTCTGTGGAAACCAAATATTCACTTTGTGCTGAATGGTTATACGGTGGTTTTTCAAAAGTCTTTTAGAAGTGTTAAAATATGTTGATGATGTCATTTCACGATTAACATACCAGTGATGTCGTTAAATAGCATCGGCTCTGTTTCCATGTTTTCTTTTTCTGTAAACTGCTTTCACAGTGCTCTTCTGATTTATTTGACTGAAAAAGGTTCATTTCTGAAGCATTTTCTTCTAATTTAACCTGCAGCTTTCATTTCACCACTTGTACCACTGAGTATTGAGACGTGTGGTTTCATTTTAAATGTTGGGACGTTTATTTACAATAAGCAGGACTTTGTGTTTACCTTTACTAAGCAGGTGAGCTGGGACACTGCAGGTGAAGTCGGAAGCAGAGTCTCTGACTTCCTGGTCTTCGTCCTGAAGCAGCGTCAACAGGCTCCTCCACAGTGACACGGTAGCAGGAAAACCTAACGGCACAACAGAAAGCAAAGTGACATTCCGTTCCGAAGGCCTTCAGGACAAGCTGGGATCTCCGGCTGCTGCTTTGAATCCGACTCACCCAGCGGCAGCTGAGGGTTGGTCATCAGGGAGGATGAACAGGTGACCAGCACCTTGGTAACCATCAGCTTCACCTCCACAGGCTGCTCCTCACCGCAGCACGAGCACACTAGAGCCCCCCATTGGTCTAAACATGCCACTGCACCGGGATCCTGCAAAAATGAGGAAAATTGCAGCATTATGGAGAGAAAAAGATCCCTGAAGTTGAGCTTAAATATTTTAAGTTAAGATAAACTGAGTTCTATAAAAATACACAAATTCATTTTAGGATTTTTTTTTCTGTCCAATATAAACATGCAACAATGGAGTATTTATGGGGATTAAATACAGTTAAATACTATGGCTTTCGGAGGAACATCTCTGGGGTGAATTCAGGTTTTTACCTTAAGATCGGAGCTCACCAGCGCCACCACCAGTCGGGAGGCCAGCATCAATGCAGAAGAGAGAAGATCAACACTGAAATACAAAATCATCAAATCAAAATAATAACACCTTAAAAAAAGAAGAAAAAAAAAATATATATATAAACTTGGCTGCTTGTTTTTTACCCTGAAGGAGACCTTAAATGAACTTTTAATCTCGCCTTCCTGTGATAAGGGATCCACCTGCCTCTTAATGTGCAGACTTTGTGCAGCCAACCAAATCAATTTAATCAACTCCGTTTCATTCCATTCTGAACGTTTACCCATGTAACTTATTTATTTAAATGAAAAGTAATACAAACAATAAGAAAATCAATTTACACTCTCTTTTTAAGACAAAGGTTATCATAGAAACTGTGAAATTTTAATAAAGTTGCAATCAATGCTTATTTTCATACAAATACAATCTGCATAATTATTTTCTATTTTTAAACACAAAAAAGAACAATTTGTACTTAATTATAAAATAAATATAAATGACCCATTATCAAAAAATAAAAATCTTTATATGCTGCAAAACAAGAGAAAAAATTAGAAGTAAAGAGAATAGATTTTTAAAAGAATTGGTTGTAGAGTATTGGAACAACAGCAGCTTCTATATAATAATAATGCAAACAGTGGATAAAATGAAAAGACAGTTCAGCTCTAAATGCTTAAAGGTTTACTATAAATTGTCATATGATGGTTCTGGTATTGATGGAAGCAAAAATAAAGACAACATGGAGTAGATTCATTGATTCCAATACAAAAAATGTAAAAGTGCTTTGCCTAGACCCTGAATCAATGACTGAAGCTCCATTAAAGAAAACAGCATTCATAAATGAAGGTTCTCGGGTTCAGTTAGGAACTCCCTGCAATCCTTTCCACACTCATAACTCCACTTTCTTCTTACTGTACACAAAAGAAGTGTGCTGGTACTCACCATGACATTATGAGTCACAATACCCTGAATGCCATTTAATCACACAGCACACAAGGGCAACCGGCAACCCAATCTCATCCCTCCTGGGCTCTAATCATAACCCTGGGGCCATGCTGAAGGGAAAGTGGATCCCTGTGTGCAGAGATTGTGGCCAGGAAAAGGCTTCACACGGCTTTGTAATCCAATCCTTATTCAAGCCTGTATTCTCTTGTCAGGGGTGAGAAAAGTACAGCCGTGGCTTGTCAAGAAAAGGTGTGTGTGTGTCTGCCTGCCGGTGGATGTCAAAGGGCTTACCGTCTAAGCACAGACACATAAACTGGAACACCAAGTGCCAAATGAGTTTGCGGTAAAAGACAGAGGACTCATGACTCACGAATCTTTCATAAACTCTGACGAAAACACTACCTCATGTAGGGCAGGTGGGAATAATCTTACAGAAGGATAATGGTGCAGATGAAGGCCTTTGAGAGCATAAATATCAGCTTTCATCCACAAAAACACTTCCACGCCTTTGATTTCACTTAAAAAGTGGCCCCCTCTGTGGCTGGGGGACAGCATAGTAGCCGCAGAGCTGCTGCCAGGCAGGCAGGCACACAAACAACATGCAGAGGAGTGCCCAGGTGCAGCCACTGACCCCCTACGTCCCATCCTGCATGGATTGTTACCCTGAATGAAAACCGGACTGCCAGCAGGTAACAGCAGCGGTACCTGCAGATATACGCCTGTAATCTACCAGAGCTAAAAGCTGAGAGGAGACAGCTTTGATGCTGTTTGGACAGCAAGTCTCAGTGATTAAGGAAGAGACCTGTGTTATTCCAAGCTCACAGAGTCACACCTTTTTACAGCAAGGCTGTAACTCTGTCACCACGGTAACACAGTTACACTCAGCAGTGATGACTTCTGAAGGATGTTTTCCTTCCATTAGACTATTTATCTTTAACAATCACTGCAGAACCACATTTAGGTCTAACCCTCATTTGTCCATTCCTATGTATACATGAAGCTCTCTCTGATCCAAAACAATTAGAAATGATTGACCAGTTTAATCTTTAAATGAGCTCATCCCTAAATCAACTATGTTGATAAATAAGCAACTATTAAAAAAGAATATATTGTATAAATAGATGTCTTATAGTTTCATCTAGACAATTAATGCAGATTTAATTTTAGGGTCTGACTCTGATATGTCTAAACTTTGAGATTTCTTCGTTTACCTGAAGCTCAAACTGTTTATACCAAAAAGATTTATATATATATAGGCTAATAAAAAACAGTTTATAATGGCATTAGAATGGATAGAATGGATTCTCCAAACCTGTGAATAAATTTCGATGCCAGAGTAAGGAGGTGCATCAAGACCTCCTTCTGGGACAAAGTCTTGGAGCCGTCCTTCCATAAAAGCTCACATCTGTTGCTTAACATGCACAACACCTGCAGGACCTGCAATAAGCAAAGTGAGGAATAAAAAGAGCCATGTTAGATAGCAGGCCTTTAGCTGTAGTTATTCAAAAAGAAGCTGCACACTATTTAAGTCAAATTTGTGATTTTTTATGTAAAAAGGGATCTGTAAATCATAAAAAGGTTCTATGCCTTATTAACAGATAGGCGTATATTTTCCAAAAACTTTGAGGTAGATTCATTTCCATGCCTTGAGATGATGTGAAGTGCATGCTCTCACTGCAAAAATGATCTAAAAATAAGTAAAACTTTCTTGAAATAAGTGTATTCACCCTTAATTTGAGCAGGTTAATGAGATAGTTTGCTAATGGAATGTGTAATTTTACTCTTAAAATAAGATAATTAGATAATATGCACTTGAAATAAGACAATGCAGTTGTGTTTTCATATTTTAAGTGTTAATTGTCTTGTTCCGTTTGGCAAAATGTCTCTTTTACCTCCTTAATTTAAGAACAAAAGCACTTATTTTAAGAAAAAAAGACTTATCTAGATTTAGATTTTTTGCAGTGCTCTCCATTTGCTACCTCTTGTTATTATTTTGATTTTTAAATAAAGGTATTTTTTCGTTAAAATTGAGACTTGTTTATCATGACACTTGTTTTCAATGAAAGAAAAACCCAGATTGGTCACAATAATAACTTGAATCTGACAAAAGTAATAATAAAAAAAAATTCTACAAAATGAAAAAAAATATATATATATTACTTTTCAACCTTTTTTCTGTTTCAACAGACTGATTAAAACAGTAAACTAATGAAACAGGCCAGAACTATATTCATGGTACTGCTAGAAAAGATAAAAATAAAAATAATGTGACTAAATATACGTGTTAAATCAATGTGTATCCGGACAGTGATGTTATGAATGCTGGCGTACCATAAAGAATACATTATGAACAGTTTAGTTTGTGCCTTTAACTCGTTTTGCCCATAGGAAGACGTTACTTGGATATAACCTAATGGAATATCTTCAGAACGACTCCAAATGACACAAAACTCATATGGGTGAGGAGAACATGATGTAATAATGTGAAATCAAGGGCCCAATGTAAAAAAAAAAAAAAACGGCGTTCCCCTTTAAAGTGCATTAACACAGCAGTGGATATTTAAAGGCATAAACCCCCTTCTTTAAAACAGATTTAAAGAACGTGTCAGAAGGCTATTTTTCTCTTCTTAATGAGCATGATCTGCAGTCCTAACCCAATGTAAAGAGTGCACCTTTGTCTCTAAAAGATGGGAGTGGAGGCGTTGAAGAGAGGATTTAGGAAAGTTCTCAGCTGTATTTGCATTTCATTTCCCTTTTAAAATTTAAAATCAGCTAAAAAAACAACATTAAATACAGTATATTCTATATAAAGAGAACAACATACTGATTTTAGTTTAAAGTGTGTGTTTTCACCTTAGCCAAACACTGCTGGCGTGTCTCATGGACAGCCATGTTGGTCAGGTCAGACATGGTGGTCTCGTCCAGCCATAGTGGGCTTTTCTCTTCTTCTTCCTCTTCGTGAAGCTTTCTCAGGATGCCCTCCAATGCCAGCTCCCTCACCTCATAATGGGGGCTATGCAGCAGACTGTCTAGGAGCTGCTTTCTCTGCTCAAAACCTCTCCACAGATCTGGGCTGTCCACACACACGCTGAGGCCCAGCTGGGCGAGGCTGAGAAGGTACTGCGTGCTTCCAGGGACAAGGGACAGCGAGGAAGAGTCGGGATGGATCAGTTCGGACGCTGTGACAACTGAGAGAGCAGTCTGACGAAGAGTGTCGACCACTGAACCTGAGAACCAAAAACGGTCACATTAGCAGGCAGCTTTGGAGGGAATTTAAGCAGCCGGTTTTTTACAGCGATCTAATGATCTGTCTATATTAGGATTTAGCTTAGCACTCCTCGCTTGTTTATTTCTAACAATAATTTGCATGCTCTATCAGTATAGAGCCATTTTCCTAGATATATCGCCTGGATTTCTTTTCTTCCCCTCTCATGTCTCCCTCGTGGACATAGACATGTCTGGTTTTGCTTCAGGTATAACCTCTGATCTATTTATAAACTCTCCCTTCAATCATAAAAAGCACTCCTGTCTAGTGCTGCAGTGTTTATCCAGGTCCATTTCCTGAAAAGAGTCATTGCCTATTTCAAAACCTATTGCCTATTTCTGCCTTTACTTTAGTTTATTATTTTCTCATCCATCCGCCCCCAATTTGCAATCAAACTTTAAAAATGGAACAAGTTCAATATTTTTATCAAAGACATCAACAAAATCAAAGAACAAACAAAGTTTATCATCAAGCAGAACCTATTTAGAGAGGTCAGAGTCTTTAGTTTCCTGGATGTCAGGAGGAAATGCTGTGGGTGTCATTCTAGAAGGGCCCAGAGTCATTCTGACCGGGCCACCTGTGAACACATACTCATGTCCATGCAGTTGAGTGTGCACCCTCACTAAGTATATTAGGGTGGCAAGCCAGCTAAAGAGTAACTTAATGCCATACTAAAACTTCACCCCTCCCTGCAGAATGTCTTCAAGACTGCACAGAGACCTGGGTTTAACAGCCAACTCAATTAGTTTAAACACACACACACCTCCACATTTTGCTCTATGTAGTGAGGTCCATGCATTGACTTCCATTGATTTTCATTCATTTCCAACCCTTTCTATGCCTAAACCTGTCTAATATACCTAAACCTAGATACTACTAGTGCATACTTAACCCTTACTCTAACATAAACTCAATTCACACCTCAGTGCAAATCCTCGCTGCTTGCAAAGAGGTAAGGACCGGCAAAATGTGCTCATCACTACAAACGGTCCTCAATTTGATGGTGAAATAGGAAAAACAAAAAAAAAGGAGCGCACACATGCACATAGATGGCCAATAAAGTGCAACTCTATCTGGCTCTACAGCCCACTCAAAATGTACCCTGACAAAAGAGCGGGAAAAGCTGCATTCTGTTCCGTGTTTTGTGGAGACAGGCCGAGTTACTGTAGAACCTGATCCTCAAAGGGGGTTCTGGGGCTAAACAGGCATAACCTAATGATTAGAATAGAGGTTTAGGAGCACAGTAATGGCGGAGGGCGATGGAGGGAGGATGATGATCAAGAGATTGGCATGTCAAAGCGAAAACAGCTGTCTGTCACAGCATAGAAATACACAACATTCTGCTTTTAGATTAGCAAATGCTTATATGTTCAACTGTTAGGCTTATGTCCTGATTTATAAAAAAAATAAATAAATAAGCATGATCACACCAGGGTGAAAATAAAATCTAGAATTTGGCACAATTCACTTCATTCAGCCCCAAATTAATACAATCAATTCTTCTGAGGTAAATAGCTAAGCTGAAGATGAATTAGTCTAATTAGTCCAAGAAACATCATTATCAACTTTTCAGCAAGTAAAGTTGCTATTAGATGTTTTAAAAGCTGTTAGATGACTTCATCTCCTAATTAGCATATCTGGTTACACTCTGATCCAGGCTGTAGGAGGGAGACATATCAACCGTAGCAAGAAAAAAAAAACAAAAAAAAAAAAACATTATTATATAGACTATAAATATGCTTATAATGAAAAAAAAATTTAATTTAAACACATTTAAGCTTTTTAAAGTGTTCCTGCTGTTAAGTCCAAACATGCTCTAAACATGGCTCAGTTTCCTCACTTTTAATTTTACAAAAGTCACATTGCAGGTTATGTAGGAATATTTGTTACAGATCTATTAATATATATCATTAACACAATACAATGTATGTGAATAAATAGTATAAATAAACTGCTGATTTTACCTTTACCATTTGTGCTATTTTTGCACGCCACGCATCATTTTACTTGGATTTATCACTTTAGTTGGATATTCACTTTATTTGGATTTAGTTTTTACATAAGCATATTTATATATATATATATATATATATAGAAGAGCTATATGTGTATATATTTTTATCTCTTATTTTTTATCTTTATTATATTGTGTAGTTGGATGTGTGTATATATTTATAAAACTGTAACTGGAGCGTGTAACAAAAGTAATTTCCCTCTGGGATTATTAAAGTATTTCTGATTCTGATTCTGGAGGTTTTTTTTTTTTTATCTTTTCCATGGGTTTACAGACATGCATTAAATCAAAACCTTAGAAGAAGATGTGAGTCCAAATGCAATATGCAGGCTGTGACATTTTGACCGATTAGAAGTGAGTGTAAATGTTCCTAAAGAATGCCAAAAACATATAAAAGTAAGATCTTCATAGAAAATGTAAAAAATAAAAATAAAAATAAGGCAAAATTCATGTTTTTATGTGCTCTTTATTAAAAAGGACAGTCAAGGAGGGAGTAATTATTTCCTACACTATTGAAAAGTGGTTCCAGCGAAGGCAACTTTAGCACCATTTTTCACCCTGGTTCATAAATAGCCATTGTTCTCCCACAGCTGCGTCTGTTTAAATCCATCTACAGGTGAAAAACCACAGCTGCTCCAAACCCTTACTCAAATAAACTGGGAGCAGTATTTTATATTTTGGGATTTTCTGTTGAGAACATGCAAGCAAAGCTTTGGAATGCAATGCTATTAACTGTGATGAAGGCTCAGGTCAGTGCAGACAGTTCAAGGAACCATGATGGTTTCATATCAGAGACACTAACCCTCTAGGCTTCTGATCACTTCTGTGCACACTGCACTAACTCAGCAAATACTGGAATAATTAGCATGTTTTGTCATAAGGCCTTTAAAGTAGCCTTTTGGTTTATTTCTAAACAAAGACACCTTTACAGTTACTAAGACTGCAGGCTGAATTACTCTTAAGCAACTGAATATTTTTGGACATCAAGGTAGAACACTTTCCCTTAAGAGCTTGGCAGCCTTTGTTAGTAAAAATGAAAAACAAGTGCATGAATTTTACATTTCTTTCCCAATTCCTATATGCTCACCAGCCATTGAAAAATGAAAAATTACATACTTAGCCGCTTTAATTCCATACAACAGGTAGAAACTTGCAAGTGATTTATTAACATATGCATATTTTTTTATAAAATGGTGCTTTTAAGGCTGAAACGCGGGGAGAGCTTACAGCCACAGCCAGGTACCGTACTGCGAAGCTACGTGTGTGCGTTTTCACAATTAAAACTTGCATTAAGAATAATTGTAAAGGTGGTGCAAGCACACTATATGTTGTTTTTTCATTTGAAGGGAGATGTAATAATGTGAAACTAAAGTAAAACTACACATTTCTGCACAAAAACAAGGCCAATAAAGTAAATCATAAAAACTTGGATGTTTTATTTAATGCGGGGACATTTTTCCCAAATATATGGGTTTCCTCGGTTGCATAGATTTAAGGATCAAAATTGTATAACATGTTAAAACCTAAATAGAGGCAAATATTTCTTTCCCCCCATTGAGTGTCTCAATAAACAATTGCAAAATCTCAACTGAAACAGTGTGATACTTTTGCAAGTTTTTTTCTTTTTTTTTAGTCCTGCAAAAGCAAAATAATGTTTATAGAAAAACTATAATTCAGCAGTCTTCCAGTAATGAGGATCACCCAAACAGTTTCCCTTGTTTTTCTTTTAAAACCAATAATGAAAAACCTGAGAAATACAGAGAGTGGAGTCAAACCAGCCGTTATTAACAGCCTGTGGTTATGTTGATTTCCCCTCTGCATGTGTTTTACGGCACGACACTCAAACCTTGAAGGAGGCAAACCAAACCTGCTGGTGTTTGGAATTCTCTGCATATGAAAACAGAACTTCTGTGCTCTGTTCGGACTCTGGCGGTCCAGAAAGATAACAAACCCACAAATCAGGCAATAAGGAAATGAAACTATTTCCCATGAAGCTTGGTTTTTGGGAAGTAGATTCATATCATGCAAGTGAACTGTGGGTCATCTTTGACGGTCTGTTCAGGTGGAGGTTGAATATTTGAACTAAATGCAACCATAACATCTGGTTTGAATAAACTCAATCTAAGCTTTTTATGATTTTAAGCGAGGACAGTACCCATCCTCTGCAGTGTTTGGATGGAGAGAAGAGGGTGGATGTGCTGTGAAACCACCAAAGCTTCTTTTTTACGACATTTCACTCCGAAAACTGCTCGTTATTCAACTTTGACTCAGTATGATGAAGGTATGAGTGAGCAAGGAAAATTAATGGGGAAAAAATGCAGCACCGCAAACCCTTATAAGTGTGCTACTTCTTTATTAGTGTCGTCGACATGCAACAAGACACTTTGCTGTCGTGAGGTTGAACTTCTCACACGCAACCAAACAGCTGGATTTCCCATCAGCTTCCACGTCATTAAACAAACTGTGAAAAACAAATCCCAGACATTGTGTGCTTGCATGTACCTCTGTGTGTGTGTGTGCATGAGCCTGACGAATGGGAAAGTGCTAAATCAGATTTACACTCTACAAGTGTTTAACTTTAGATTGAAACCTTTTCTCACCATCTTCCTTTTTCCCTGCTTCATATTCATGCATTACTTGAAAGAACTGCTTCCCTTCATTTCTGTATGTTTCTGGGTTTCTTTTTTTCTTCCAGAAAGGACTTCTGCTCTTAGCTGCTTCTTCAGTAACGATATATTTACTGGAAATGTTCACCAATTATGCAACTACTTCCATTTATTTTGCATCCTCTTCAAGGTTTGTCATATTTGTTCCCGTTTAGCTGTCATTCTTTCTTAGCACTCATAGTGCAGCATGTAAAGCTGCTCATAGACATGTTTATTTTTTTTTGTATGTTGAAGTACCGCATTAAAGCTTACTGGAATCAACAACATTTTAATAAAATTGAA